CCGCCGCTCCAGCTGCAGGTGCTGCCGCCGATGCCGCCGCTCCTGCCGCGAGGGCCTGCCCCCCGGCCGTCTCCCCCACCGCCGCTGCGGGGAAGACACTGCTGCCGGGGGCCGCCGCTCCAGCTGCAGGTGCTACCGCTGCTCCCGCCGCTCCAGTCACTGCCCCCAGCCCCCCGGTACCTTCACCACCGCCCTCAAACTCGCCGCCGCTCTCATGCTGCACTCCAACAAACGGCTGTACTCCACCAGTGCTCCATCCGGTCCCCCCCACTCCATTGACACGATACTGCTGCTGCTGCTGCTGCTGCTGCTGCTGCGGCTGCTGCTGCTCCAGCTGCTGATGAGGCGACCACTGCGGCGGCTGAGACTGAGGAGGTGTAGGGTGTGAAGCATATTGCGCACCGTTGTGTGTAACGGCACCGGTGAAGGTCCCGTACATCGAACCATCGTCCGGCGGTCCCCACGTCACACCACTCCCGTCTCCTACTACACCACCACCACCGTCTTGCTGATGGTACACTACCGACTTACCACCGACGCTGGGAGTCTGCCCGGCAGTAACGACGTTGACGTGTGGTGGCATGCGAGGGGGACCGACGACCGTTGAACACACCCGACGCACATGACCGTACGCACCACACGAGGAGCAGGTACCCTCAAATCGCCGCGGGGCATTGCACATGCTCAAGGTATGACCGCTTCGCCCGCACCTCTCACAGCGGGGAACAGCGCCCATCGGAGCACCTGCTGGCGGAGCCGATTCCTCCTGCCGGTACACGGCGTTGCGTCCACAATCGAAGAGACCCCCAGGCCCCCATGTCGGGTAGTTCGGAGGCGGATGATGTGGGGGCGGGGGTTGCGGTCTGGCATGTTGTCCCAGCGGCTGTCGCGACTGTGGCAGCTGCTGTTGATACTGCTGATGTGCCTGGTGGATCGGTTGTGCGCCGAAGTGTTGTTGCTGCTGGCTCGCTGTCCACCGCCCGGTACTGTGCTGCTGTCCGCGCCCACCACTAGAAAAACCACCGCCTCTCCGAGAACCGCCGCCGTGGCCACTGCCGCCGCTGCCGCCGCCGCCGCTACCGCCGTTACCGCCGTTGCCACCGCCACCGCTACCGCCGTTGCCGCTGCTACCGCCGCCGCTGCCGCCGGACCTAAAACCACTAACAGCAAGCGCGTGAGGATCGTGGCCCGGCTGCACCGACGTCGACGGAGACACTTTCACCTTCTCAAGCTGCTTGGCAACAATGTTAGCATACGCCTTGCGAACAATGCTTTCAACTCCCGCACGAGAGATGTCGGAATCGGATAGGGTGGTCTTGCGTTCGACATCGTAATCAGACGAAAGCTGGCGGACAATTGTTTGCACAATTTGCCGTTCGGATTTTTCAATGCCGACAGCTCGCATGGTGTTGACGATACCGTCGACTCTGGCGAAGAAAAGCTTCGGGTTTTCGCCAGGGGACATCTCAACAGTCTCCAACTGTCGCTCAAGCAGTCTCTGCTCAGCATCAGTAGTGGGCAAAGACCATTCACGGATAGCGGTTCACGCCTCCGGCACGCAGCTACACGCAAACAGCGTTTCTTCGATGTCCGAACCGCTAGTTGATTCCACAAGGTACCCCCACGCCCGCAAGTGTGCTGTCACCAGCGGCGCTCCATGAATGCGGTTTAGGTAGTTGCGATCCGGACAGCCGATGATGTGGACGTAGCCAGTAGGGGGTTGGTGATCAAGGGTTTGTTCCAGACCTTCTACAGCGAGGAAAGTCCGCATCCTCCGTGACCAGCTCATAAACTTCCCCGGTTCGTTCGGGTGCTTCGGCGGGTTTCGAGTGCCAAAACGACCGCTCATCAACTGGCTACCGCCGTCTGCCATGCTCACCGTTTGATACCCGGGTCCTGATCCTCCACCAGAGGGCCCTGTACGGGCCGCGTCTGCAGCTGCACGCGCCGCATCTGCAGCAGTGGCCCTATGCATAGCCGCTTCTTTCTTCCATTCTTCCTCCACCTCTTTGTGGGCCTGTTTCAGCTTTGATATCTCCGCCTTCGCCTCAGCCAGACCCAGCTCCAACTCCTTCTTCTGCTTCTTGTCTTTCTCCTCGCCTTCCATGTCTAAACTAAAATTGCTTCTTGTTCTAATAACTGGATTTCCTTGACGCGCGCCGGCAAAAACCGCCCTGCTGCTGCTGTCCTTGTATTCCAAAAGCTTACCCTGGATCTCCTTGGCACGCGCGGGCAAAAACCGCCCTGCTGCTGCTGCCCTCGTATTCCAAACCCTGTTCCCTGGATCTCCTTGGCGCGCGCGGGCAAAAACCGCCCGCTGCTGCTGCCCTTGTGTTCCGGTGCCTACCTCCCGAACCTTTCCCTACCGACGTCAGCTGACTCCACGATATCGTGTTTGGGGTGTCGGCGCGTGTACTATGTTATCACGCTCGCGGGCTCTTGTCGAGAGCGTGTTGCACAAAGGAGTGACTCAAGTTCCTTGATTAACTATTAACGAGGTATTAACGAGTGACAAGCATGAGCAGCAGGCAAGAAGGACCTGCTGCTGCACACACGTCTGCATATACCCAAACCTATCATATCTGCGTACCCCCTCGGATATCTCGGAGATCTGTATCCTGCCGAGTACATACACAAACACACACACCCAAGATGTCCTCAACAAGCTCCAGGCAATAGCGGCGACTGTGCTGGTGGTGACTGTCGCCACATCGACTGTCATTCAGCGCCTAGCACCCAAGGCGCGGCAACCTATCCACGAGCCGCGACGCCTGGATTGGGACGAGCACTTGGAAGACGTGAGGCGCAGGAAGCTCTTCCGACGCATGTACAGGATGGAGGAGCACAGCTTCAACAAGCTCGCGGATCTTTTACGACCCATCCTCGAGCGCAACGACTTCTACGCAAGTAAGACATACCCACACAGAGTGCGCTCGCGCTTGACGAAGAGAGTAGGGTTAGTTTAGGTTAAGGTTGTACTGCCGTCGCGAACGCTAGCCGCTTGTTTATTGCAGTTGTATGTTTCTTGCTCATCGCTGATGTCCGCAAGATGAATTTGCACCGCCACGGACATCATGCAGCGCAGGAGACGCCGTGTAGATAGCATGTGTCCTGTTGTCCCTCCGGCGATGCGGTTGACAAGTGCTTGTGCTTCGAGCTTACATTCAACGCTCGTACTCGTGCTGGTCGCGTGGTGCAGGGTTGCGGTCGCGCTGGGGAGCTGTGTCAGTGGACATTCGGCTGGCGGTTGCGCTGCANTTTCGAAGGAGTCCGTCTTCCACATCATGTGGCAAGTGGTGGACGCCATCAACAACACGCCGACGGTGGGGCCGTTCTTTTTTCCCCAGACACGAGAGGAGTGCGCCCGGCAAGCCAAGGAGTGGGAGGTTAGTGCGTGTGCGTTTGTAGTGTAGGTGAATTCTTGTGTGTGTGTGGTCTCTCATGCACTTCTATTGCGGGAAGGAGATCTCTGGCATTTCCGCCGCATCCCCTCGGTCATATGTGCAAGATGGAAGCGAAGGTGTCGGGTAGTCCAAGAACGACTCTCACTGAGTGAGCGCCTGTGTTTTGAATGAGAATTCCAACTCCCGAAATTCCGGACGACAGCACGCAAAATACAACAACAACTGCTGCGGAACTCCCGGCCCCGTACTGCTGACGTGTAG